ATAACTTAGGATTTTTTCCCAAAGCTTTCTTCCCATGTTTTTTTTCTTTTTTACTACTGGTACTGCTGCACAGTACCAGGAGAGTTTTCAGAAGTCCTAGTCCTGCAGGAACACGAGCATATAACTATAACATCCATATACTCTATTGATGCTTTTCACCAAACAATCTGAAATAGTCAAAACCTTGAAGCCCCCTCTTCTTCCCACCCCCCAAAAAAGGAATGTCTTCCTTTTTTTAATATTTTTTTTTTTTTAAAGAAGAAACTGATGGGAAAGATTATACGTTAAAATGGTCCTCCTCCCCCAGATTTTAACTATGGTCCACTGTGGGCTTGAAAATATCTGCACACCACCATTTTAACAAAATTATGAGATATGTTACTATTAAAAGGCTAATTTGTGGTAACTGCTATCATGGAATATAACTTCCTTCACAGGGCCTTTTTCAGTCTCCTGTCAGCCAGATTTGTGACTCCACGCTTGAAACAGTGAGCTTCCGTTTTCAAGATGAGAAAATACCAGAATGATAAGAAACTGAAAAGTTAAACCATTTCTGACCTGCTCGCACCAGTGTGAGAGATGCTTGTCTAAAATTGTGCGACTTTATCTTTTACAAGTCAGTTAAGCTGGCAAAAGCCATGACAAAAAGGAAACATTTTTTCTCCTTCACGCACTCTATCAAACAGCAGTGGTGTCCTTGTTCTTAGGAAAAAAAGGAATCAAAGCTATAGGTCACTGAGCTTTATTCTTTTACTGACTAAATTTATCATGCTAGAATTTGCTCCTGTGAGAGTCACAATCTCCTTAGCCTATTTTTACATTTTGTTTCTCTTTTAGATCCACCTCCTCAATGCAGAGGTTGCTCTGCATGCTGTTCTCACCAGTTCAGTAACATCCTGTTCATGATGAGAGTTTCTCGTTCCTCATGGCTGGATGTTACACACATACATGGCTGATTCAAATACCATATGAAACTACTTCTGTGCAAAAACTATATCAGTTTATTGCACAATGGGATGGACAGAGCACAGTCCTCAACAATTCTTACAAAAGTTCTTCTAATTTCCCCATCCTCAAGAGAAATCCAACTACACATGGACTTTGTTGCTCTCATTGGCTTCACTACTGATACCCAATTTTTAACCAGAAAATATGTAACAGATTTCTGAACTCTTAAGCATGGAAGCTCTAGATTTTTGTTGTTGTCTCCATGTGTTTCTTGTAGGTATTTTTCTGCTTTTTAGGATCTCTTCTACTACTGGGTACACTCAGTGATTATTTTTAGACCCCTGCAAAATTCCTCTATATAATTTCCTACCTCTAACACCCATACTTTTTGATTCAAACTTTTGTTTTCTTAAATGGAAGAGTTACTCGGTAAAGCATATACAAATTGGGGAAGTATTAAATCATTCTACAACTGTTTTCTTCCTTATATTTTCATTTCACTTTCCTGCTTTGTGATTTGATTATGTGTTTTGGGTTGTTTTAAATGAGTTTTTCAGACACACACAAACTCACTCCTATGGCCTCACTTTCTTACAGTAAAATACAAGATTAAACAAATTCTTTTATATCAGAAATAGTGGAAAGACTCAAGCCAGAAGATTAGAACAAGTCCAGGTCCATCATGGATGCTGCCATGTTAAGTTAACTGGTCGCAGTGTAGAAGAGTCCCATGAAAATACGTAAGGAGAAAGGGGGCAACCAGAGGCTAAATCCTCTGCCAGGGAAAGCCAGGCAACAGCAAGTCAGGGTCATCAGCCTCTTCTACAGCCTAGAAAGGGGTATACCAAGAGAAGAGGATTCACAGTGGCACCAAAGTTACAGTGAACACCAACCATCAAAACATTTTTTGTGACTGTTTTTGGTAAATGAGTTTGCAAAACCACTGAAGGAAAGTCCACACAATCCTACAACCTCCATCCATAACCAATGCCTGTTTTCCTGCTGCAACAGAACAGCAATCCCAGAATGACACAACCAAACATTATGGAGAGGAAAATAGTGCTCAGAGAGTTAATACAATCTGATAGTTCCTTAAGGTACCATTTAATTACTGCATTAAAAAGCAATCACCAATTTCTGTGTAAGCAAACCATCAACAGACCGCTGCTTACCTATATTCGACAAATGTCCTTTCATAGGAGAATGTTTGTCTTGCATACCTGATAACTAAAAATTTAGTTATACTGGAGTATTAAAAAAAACTGGATATTGCAAATGGTTTACAAACCAGTCCTTTAACAACAGTGCCTTCATGTGTTTATTATAGGCATTTTCTTATTTTAAAGCTAAGATTCAACTATGTTTTATAGTTGTAATTCTGTCCTCCTACACATTCACAAGCAAATTAGGTCAATTCCAAACTATTTGTAAAACCTCCTACATAGAAAGGAGTTTGAGATTTTAAAACATAAGAAGTTTAAAATAAACAAAGTCAACCTACCAGTGTCATAAACCTTGTGAACTGTCAATTTTTTGTTGCAGCCTAATAAGGCATCCTAAAGTAGTAAGAACCAAAATGCGAGAATGACTGTCCTTGGCCAGAGGTTGCATCCACATCATGTTTAATAACATTTTAATAATGTTTATTATATAAGTTTCCCTAATTAACTTCTAAACTTACTTCTACATTTGGCATCTGTAACATCCTGTGGCAATGAGTTCCACTATGTAATTGTGTTGCATGAAAAAATGTTTTTAAACCTACTGCTGGGTAAGAACTAGGAGCCATCAAAACTGTGTTATAAGAAATGATGAATAATCATGCTCTCCCCATCTTCTCCATAACATTAGTAGCTTTATACAGCTCTTGCATTTCTTCTGAACTCATTTCTTTTCAGAGTCCTAACCATCCTGTTCAAATACAGGTATCTCTTTCCCCATATATAACCTGGTTTATCCTTACTAAAAAAAAGGACATCTGCAATTGTTTGTACTATTACAGATCGGTCACGGATGTCATCATGATGTTTGTATAGAACTATAATGCAACTTCAAGACCTCTTTTTTGCGTAGTAACAGTTTAGACTGCCATGCATGTTAGTTAGCCAGTTCCTTCCTGCAAGCATTATTGTATAATATTGTATAGTTAATGCACTTGCCATTTTATTAATTTGTTATCTTGTATTGTCTTCCCACAACTGTTCATGTCCACAGATTTGGGGGTCTTAATAGTGTGAATGGTGTATGAGTACAAGCTGTTATTTTGCTTTTTAGTCCCTTTCACAGACTTATTAAAGCAGCAAAGACCTCCACAAGGTCCTACAGGGACCTCCTACAGGGGTAGGAGTCTACTCTTGGCTTGTGATAACTGATCTTTTATTTTTATCCTCTTTTTTCCTGCCTTAAAAAGTTATTAACCTGAGAGGGCTTCTCTCTTATTTTTGTGACCATTTCGTCTCTTCAAGAAACTTAGGCAGCAGCTGTCGTGGACTAAGATGGTTAGTTCATATGGCATCTATAGTTCTAACATGACCATGAACTCTCATCCAACCAATCTGCAAGCTATAATCTGTCTACAACAATCATGTTGGCTCTTCTTTATTATTTTATATTCTCCATGTACGTGTTCATTTTTCATATTTATAAACACACATCTTCTCATTTGATTCTATGACCGTTTTAATTAATTTTGATAAGGACAGAAATAAAACTTTTTGGGCTGTAGCTTCACGCAGATTATGCTACATTTCCAAATTCAGTGATTATGTATTCAAATTACTCTAGACCTGTTAGGTGTACCCTGATTAGTCCAAGCAATTTGTTATTATTCATTTTAATCAGCTTGTTCTAGAAGTTCTTCCCCTAACACTTGAATTTGAAACAGACCATCTGAGACATCTCAAGTAAGCTCCAGTGCAGGAACCTTCATATAGCCTCCATAATTAACACAGATGCAAAAAGAGTCTTCGTAAGATTTGCTACTGAAGTTTTATCTTCTGCTAGCATTCTCACAACATCTTGATCCTTACTGGGCCTGGAGACTATTAGGTCTCTTGCTTCCGATGTGCTTGAAGAATTTCTCCAGCTCCTTCTGTGCCTGTCGTCTGGATTTCACACATAACTTACCAGTTATGCATTCTCCTGTTTCCCACATTTGGTTACAAGTTCTACTTTATAAATTCTCTCTTTACCTGTTACAGATTTCCCTCCTTTGCAGTTTAACAATATTGAGTTTGGGTTTTTTCCCCCCTTGTGATTGATGGCAGATACTTACTCTAACATTTAATATGGTAGCTCCTGATACCACTAAAAGCTTTATTCTTTTGGCTGATCCTTTTAACTATTTCCTAACAAGCTTGCTTCCTTAGGTGTAGTTCTCTCCATAAGATGTTACTGCAATACATTTTAAACTTGCTCTTAAAACAATATGGAAATCATATTTATTATGGTTACTCTTGTAGGGTAGCTCAACAGTAATTTAACCTTAAACTAGGTCTTGTGCACTGCACATTTGCCATACTCCTCTTGTGAGCTGACAGCTTATCAGAATACCCAATGTATCGTTCTTCACTTCTGCATTTACTGAGTCTTTCATGCACATAACAGAACCATGTAATAACAGGAAATGCTTCTTCCCTCAGCGTCTTACCTCCCTTAGCACTTCACAGTAATTTTCCATCCCATTTACATGGTCAACAGTCTAACCCTCACAGTATTTTGATCTATTTGCACACAAATTCAAACTGTAAGTGTACTTTCTTATCTAGATGTACATAGCTTTGACCATAAACCCTAACATATAATAGCGCATCTCCCAGAGTACAGTTTGCATTCTCATCTCTATATAAATGTTTGCCCTTATACTAACATCCTCTTGTACCAATTTTCTGAGACACCAAATATGTCAATATCTGGATTTCAAACCAGCATTCCAGCTCTCACACTCTATTTTTCACGTTTCAGATTTTGTCCAGAAGCCCATCTACAACTGCTACTGGTCTAATTGTCTTTTTTTTATATTTTATAAAGAGAAGCAAGCAGTAAATACATACATGACGGTGTTAATCCCTGACAGTTGTTGAAACATCTGCAGACCACAACCCACAATTAAGGCTCTTCGAGTTGGAGGGTATGTTAGCATTCTGCAGATCACAGGTCCAGCTTAAAAAAAAAAAAACAAAACAACAAAAGAATACGTAATAGTTCTTAAGTGATCGCTATCAAGACAACGTTCCCAGGCAACAGGCTTTGCACCTTAGTTTCAAACACACTTGGGTTATTTCAATTATTTTTGAACAACTTGATCATTTCAGTTCTGCTTTTCTGCACTTTACTACAAAGATTTTCAGGAAGCCCAGGAAAAAAAATGAAACAATTTTTGTACACAGTGTATACTACTGGTGGCAAATGTACAGCTCTCCTATATCATACTAACAGATTGCACATCTGCTGCAACTGAATGTATTCAAAGTTGTCACAAATATCATTGTCGTTTCCTTTCTAGAAGCTCCCACTGTTATTGAGAGGTTATTTCAGAAACACCATTATTAACTGCTCAGATCTGCATCTTGCAGATAGCGTTCTCCCTAGTCCGCCAAATACCCAACTTCCACAAACCAGTTGCAAGTGTTTGAGTTTGCATGAGTCCCATACTTTGAAGGTATGGGATAGATCTATTCTGCACAGCTGTAAGGCCAGCAGAGGGAGCATAAATTAATTAAATTTTTTCCATATCTTTGGTAGCAATTGTATGAGGCTGCATTCAAAAAGCAGAAAACAGTTCCTCAATGAAGAGAAAACCAAAAATTTCTGGCAAACAGAGAAAGTTTTATTCTCTGTTAATTTTAAATTTTCAAAGTACCCTATAAAAAAAAAGTAATACAGAAAGCGATATGATATCAGGCAAAAAAATTAAAATACTTGACTCCCTTATTTACTTGAATTTCTTTCTGCCCAGAGTGGTGTTTAGGGCAGAACACAGTCCGGTGAAAAATTCTATGTTTTATACATCTTATCACATCTGGTATACCCACTCAGAACACCTAATATAGTTCACAATATGTGTAAGTCAAAATAGTTGCCATCAAAAGAAAAAAAAAAAAGGCTGTGAAGAGCATCTACATTTTTGCATTTTCAGTCCTTCCTGAACATACAGAAAATATTAAATGTATTGATTCAGTATAAAAATCTATATGGGTCTGTTAGAGCAGAACGATTTACATGCAAAGATTTTCAACGTCAGAAAGCTGACAATCTGTGAACAGTTTCAATAGTGGAACTTTTTTTTCATTGAAAGAGAATCAGACCTGCCTAAGGAAAACTCATTTTCATTAAAAAATTATAGTATTTCTAATTCATATCTCAATTGTATCATCACTTAACTTTGCTTCTTTATTATTAACAGCAGAATGCAGTCTGACAAATTTCCCAGCTGGTTTCCAAGTAACATTAACATTCAGGCAGTACACAGTCCCACCTGTCCTGCCATATATCCACGCTATTGCCTTCAAAATGTCTCTAGCTGAGTAAATCAGCTGACAAATAGAGCCTGGTAAGATATTCTCAAGCAAGACACATACCATCACTGGGTAGACAAGTATATCAAAGGGTTCAGTAGTCAAAGTGGCATTTCCTCAGTGGAAAAACAACAAAACCAGCACTCGCTGTTAGCTAGGAGCAGTCTAGAGCTCAGACATTCTCTTGGATTTCTCCTCAACTAGGAGCTTCACAAAGAAAAAAGATTTACTGACAAATGCAACCATGAACCTTAATTCACAAACAACAGCCCTCAGGTTTTCATACTCGGCATCACACCTGAGCATGAAGGCTTTGGGCTTAAAAACCTTTATCTGGCAACTGATTCTGCAGCATCTGTCATGAACCCAGGCTGCTGAATGCCTGTATCTTCCGTTCTTCATGAACTTCCTATAAAGTCCTTAATGGAGTTCAAAATCCATCTTTATCATCAAAGGACCTGACAGCCAACCTAAATCTTGAAGTCCACCATCAATGACTATACTCATTGAATAAGCTGGAATGCTACAGCAGGGTCTGTTAGGAAAGGAAGCAGAAATGTCCTAAAGAACTGATGCAAAGTTTTCAACAATTCCTGATCCACTCAGCTATTTGACAAAAGTTATATAAAACTCTATTCACAATACGGCATTGTACAAAACAATTGGACAGAAGGCAATAAAATGAATAGCTAGAAATTAAAGCAGCTGCTCCCAGACAATGCCTTGCAACTCAGAGGCAGTCATGAACTCCCAACAAAATTTCGTCACACAAATCCGTTTGTACGCCTGAAGTGGGGCCCTGCAGAAAGTTTAAGACCACGTAGTAAAGTCTAGACCTTTACTTTAGAACTTTAGACTTTAGACCTTTAGAGCATCCAGTCAGCTAAATTCAGGAAGTACTTGTAATTTTTCAGACTTCTGATTAATTGTATCAGAAAAATGATGCTAAAAATCATCATACTGGTTCAAGTCAGAGATTTAAAAGTTTCACTCCAAATCCGTACCATGGCAACCCACACATATAGGCATACACAAAATTAAAGGATTTTCTTTCATAAAATTCACAGCCTTCACATTTAGAAACCAATAAATGGAATGAAAGAAATAAAAGAAATCGTTAATCTGTATATTAAAGGAGCTTTACAAACTCCACTAAAAAACCCAAAGGACTTTGACTGCGAGGTGGCTGTTTTTAAAACAGAAAATGAGTGTGAAACTTATTAAAATTATCTAGCCCTAAAACTAACCATACTATTTTTGCATTTTCCTATCTTCAATTCTGCCATCCATCTTCTGTGTTCATATATTACAGCCTTAAAACTAAACAACTCTAGGTAAAACATGACTGTTAACAACAGAGTATGGGTCTAAACTAAAAAATGAAAAACAAAACAAGCTTTCAGAATTAAATACATTTTTCTTCTGAAAATAAGTCTTCTGAAAACTGATATTGTACTTTAGGAGTTTCTGATAACCATTAAATCTGCTGTTAGTTATGACAATAGGTTAAAATAGCACAAAACAATAAAATCATTAAATCTTTAAAAAGTGGAGCAACTTAATTGCTAACAGAACTAGAGGGAAACAGATGATGCAAAAGATACATCATAAAAAAATTAAACATTTGGTAATTTTTACAATGGAAAAATAGGTATTTGTCTCCAAAAATCAGTTGGTTTTTTTTCATGATACTTCTGCCTTAATTGCTGCTGTTTTCTCTGCAGCTAGGAGATCTAGAAACATTCCTGCATTCAAACCACTTCATTTGAACTTGAGAAACCACCAAGATGTTTGTTTTCCTATGTCTAATCTATGAATAAAATGAAGTCAAAAGGATGAGACCTCCTAATGTCATGATTAATTTAATGAGACTAGATTTGGTTGGACTTTTTGTGCTGTGGTTTCAGGTAATTACTTGTATCTGAAGTAAATTTCCTTAATGCATATGTTTATAAGCGTTCAAAACATGCTACAGTAAAGGGCAGCTGAAGCTTGCTCTAGTGAGAGTGCAAAATGGCAGCAATAGATAAAGAGCAATGGAAAAATAAGCATACAGCTGTTATAGAAGGTGAGATTACATGAAGTGGTGATACATGCAGTGGATTGCTGTGGTCTAACTGGCTTTTTCCTAGCCTGGTCTAAACTGTCTACCTAACTAGACATTCATCCTTATAAGCAAAAGGCAAAAATAGAATTCGGAAGTTTGGCTTCACATCCAAAAAAACCTTATTAGCTTACATGGAGCTAAACAGGGGGGGAGGAGCTGTTCTTGTCAAATCATTACTTCTGGAAAGCGAGTGATGCTTTCCAAATGTTACATTTTATGAGTGGTTATCTGAAACTTTCAACACCAGCTTCCTATATTTTAGCTGCTGTTCTTGTTACTAGGCATAACCCACAAGTAAGTTAAGTTTAGAAATTGTGAATCACCTGGTAAGGCATTTTGATTTTCCTCTGTAGGTAAAATGGATTGTATGGTGATCATAGGAGCTTGGGTGTGATCCACTGCCAACTAAAAGATAGAGAGACTTTTCAAAAACAACAAAACAAACAAACAAACCCTAGTTCTAAAAGGAGTTTAAATAATGAAAGCTAAAAAGCAGAAGAATGGGTATTAATGATGTCTCAGCATCTCCTTCTGAAAATGTACTGCATACACTTCCAGGGAAATAAAAATACTGTAGATAGACATAAAGCCAACCTAAAAATCCCCCAGCAAATGCAGGCAGACATCTGGTGCCTGGACACCTTGTGATCCCCCATCCCTCAAATTATTAGTACAATACTTGGCAAAATTTCACAGCCAGGAAACTATGGTTAGAGACTGGGCTCTGCCAAAGTAATTTGCAGGTTCAAATATTGTTTTGCCAGCTAATCTAGGTGACAGCTTGTAGCAACAGCTTAAAACTACGTAGGGCTCCTGTGAGCATTTTGTGCTCTTGCTGTAGAGGAGTGTTTCCAAACAGGCAGGCTTAGCCAAGCAACAAGACAGTCACTCATCAGTTTAGCATCAATTAAGCTCAACCTTCAGATTAGTTCCTCAGACCCATTCGTGTCCCAATGCCAGTCAATGCCCTCTCTTCCATCCAGATAAATCTTTAAAGAACTGGTCTACAGTTAGAAATGGGACCAAAAAAAAAAAAAAAAAGAAACGTCAGGCTGGTGATCTGGATAACAGAAGACAGACATGGGAACCATTTCTCTGTTTTGCCTTTCCTTACAAAATGACAGCTTCCAGCCCAGCTTTCTCTGCATCATCTGCAGAACATTCCTCCACCTAAGACTCCTCCTCTAAAGCACTTAGAGCTAGCTATTATTTTATGCATATGAATGACATCTTCCATCCATAAATCTTTAAAGAACTGGTCTACAGTTAGAAATGGGACCAAAAAAAAAAAAAAAAAAAAAAACGTCAGGCTGGTGATCTGGATAACAGAAGACAGACATGGGAACCATTTCTCTGTTTTGCCTTTCCTTACAAAATGACAGCTTCCAGCCCAGCTTTCTCTGCATCATCTGCAGAACATTCCTCCACCTAAGACTCCTCCTCTAAAGCACTTAGAGCTAGCTATTATTTTATGCATATGAATGACACACTAAAGCAAACACCCTTTCCCGCTCCTAGCCTATTACATGCTTATTTTC